TTGTCTTTTTGAGACAGGGTCTCCCTGTGCAGTTCAGGCTGGCCTTGAGCTCACTTTGTAGCCCAGGCTGGTCTCAAACTCACAACGATCCTCCTGGCTCAGCCTCCGGAGTGCTGGGATTACAGGTGTGTGCCACCATACCCGGCTTTTTTTTTCCTTGGTCCCGGGGATTGAACCCAGGCTTTTGGTCATGTTAGGCAAATGCTCTACCACTGAGCTACACTCCTGGCTCAAAAGAATGAGGTGCTGGGCTATTCCAGAAAAATTAATGGCCTGATTTAGCAAAGGCGTAGGAAGAGACCCAGGTATCCTGACAATTTATGAGACTCACTCTAATTTTCTTTTCTTTTTTTTTTTCTTTTTGAGACTAGGTCTTACTATGTAGTTTGTGCTGGCCTTGAATTCACTATGTAGCCTGGGCTGACCTCGACTCACAGCAGTCCTTCTCCCTCAGACTCCCAAGTGCTGAGGTTATAGGTGTGCACCACCGTGCCCAGTTTAATTTGTTAGCTTCTATTTCCCTAAGGTTTTGGGCTTTTCAGAGAGGTCAGCAAGTGAAGTGCACCAGTGTTACGGAGAGCTAGTGAAGGTCTGGCACCCTGATCACACCAGGCAGCAGACAGAGGAAGCCCAGAGCCATGTCCTGGAGATCCAGTATGCAGATGAAGTCCTAAGTCAGCCCTGGAAGTCCAGAGGGGGCTGGAGGTAAGAAGCACTTCCTCTGAGGATGGACTCTTCCCGGGAGAGCCAGGCTGCTTATCTCAAGCCTGGCTTTGCCATATGGGGCACCCAGCAGTGTTAAAGAAACTGTCTGTTTGTGGTGGAGGAAAACCTTAACAGGGTGAAAAAGAGGGGTAGGAAATATACTTATGTTATGAATTGTAGAATTCTTGGCTCTTGCACTCTTGACTAAATTTTCTTAAAACCAGAGAGTAAAAGATGCATTACAAAGAAATACTTTCCTAAGAATACCGCATCTTTTTCCCCCCTGTGGTTTTGAAGACCTAACACTCCTAGCCCTCTTTTTTATTTTTTTTAATTTTAAGACAAGGTCTTGCTGAGTTGCCTAGGCTGATCTTAAATTTATTATCTTCCTGCCTCACCCTCCCAGATGCGGGGATTGAAAGATTCACTCTGTTCTATAGATTACCAAGTGATGAGGCTGGAGGTAGATTCAAAATTTTAGAAAAATATTTTAATTCTATTCACAGGAGACTTTTCTATCAGCTGTATTTTTTTCTCTTAAAAAATTTTTTTTTTGGGTACCTGGAATCGAACTCAGAACTTTGTGCTTGCCAGGCAGGTGCTGTGCCAATGAGTTTTATCCCCAGCAAAAGTTTAACTTACTTTTTTTTTTTTTTTTTTTTTTTTGAGACAGGGTCTCACTATGCAGTTCAGGCTGGCCTTGAGCTCACTTTGTAGCCCAGGCTGGTAACGATCCTCCTGCCTCAGCCTCCTGAGTGCTGGGATTACAGGTGTAAGCCACCACACTCGGCTTTCTAGTAGCTATACTTTTTCTCTAAGGAGAAAAAGTAAGAGGCAGTGGAATAGAGAAGTATTATAGGGAGTGCTTAAAATTTACATGAGTGAGCTGGGCATGGTGGCACATGGTTGTAATAGCACCCCTCTGGAGGCTGAGGCGGGAGGATCATCATGAGTTTGAGGCCAGCTTAGGCTACATAGTGAGTTCAAGGCCAGCCTGAACTATGTAGTGAGACCCTCTCTCAAAAAAAATTTATAGGAGTGGTTTGGCCAGCTGAGTTCTCAGATTTTCCCTACATGTTTTGTTTGGGTTTTGTTTTTGTTTTGTTTTTGTTTTGTTTTGTTTTGTTTTATTTTGAGGCAGGGTCTCACCCTGTAGTTCAGTCTGGCCTTGAACTTGTAGCAATCCTCCTGCCTCAGCCTCCTGAGTGCTGGGATCCCAGGCATGCACCACCACGCTTGGCCTTCCCTGCATGTAAGATTTGATTCTGAGCTATACACCTTGTTTGTGGTATGATGGAGAAGAATAACACAGGTACGCAGATCCCGGAGTCCACCTTAGCAGCGTTGTGTGAGCTGTAAATGATGTTGTGGGACACTGGAAGACAGCTATGATTCTGTTTTTTGGGGGCCATGGAAAGATTCATGATTTTATATCTTGAATATCTTTATAGGCACTTTGGGGAACTCTGGAGAACCAGTACCTTGCACATATCAAGGGGGCTTTATTTAATTTGAGGTAATCCTAGCACTTGGGAGACTGAGGCAGGAGGATTACTGTGAGTTTGAGGCCAGTCTGGGCCATATAGTTTATTTTTATAATTTTTATTTTTTTGTCCTTTTTTGAGACAGGGTCTCGCTATATAGTTCAGGCTGGCCTTGAGCTCACTTTGTAGCCAAAGCTGGCTTCAAACTCACAATAATCCTCCTGCGTCAGCCTCCTGAGTGCTGGGATTACAGGCGTGCGCCACCAGGCCCAGCTTACATAGTGAGTTTAAAACCAGCCTGGGTTATACAGTGAGACCTTGCTCAAAAAAAGAAAAAGAAAAACAAACAAACCACAAACTTTTAGTCAGGAGGAATGGTACACATCTGTAATTCCGGCACTTGGGAGGCTGAGGCAGGAGAATCACTCTGAGTTCAAGGCCACCCTGGACTATATAGTGAGACCTTGTCTCAAAAACAAAAACAAAAAAACCAAAAACCAAACCAAACCAAAACAAAACAAAAACTTGCTAAAAACAACTTTTAAAAACCTTGCCAAGAGGCCAGGCATGGTGGCACGTACCTGTAATCTCAGCAATTGGGAGGCTGAAGCAGGAGGCTTGCCCAAGTTTGAGGCCACCCTGGGCTACAAAGTGAGTTCAAGTCTAGCCTGAACTGTAGAGCGAAACCTTGTCTCAAAAAACAAAAAACAGGGGCCAAGAAGATAGCTCAGTGGCACAGTGCCAAGGTCCTGAGTTTGATTTCTGGTACCAAAAAGAAAAAGTTTAAAACAAACAAACAACAAAGCATTTTGCCAAAGAATTTACTTATATGCCATGATTTCAAGACCAAATTAATGGGCTGGGGATATACCTCAATGGCACAGTGCCTTCCTGGCAAGTGCAAGGTCCTGAGTTCAATTCCCAGTACAAACAAAACAAAACAAAACAAAACAAAAAACCACCAAATTAACTTTCACATCTTTTTATTTTATTTTTAATTTTTTTTTTACAGTTTAATGTGATAGCAAACTTACAGGAACAGCACAGAGAGACAGACAACATTAAAAACATGTACTAGGCCAGGCATGGTGATGTACCTCTCTAATCCCAGCACTCGGGAGGCTGAGGAAGGAGAATTGTGAGTTCGAGACCAGCCTGGGCTATAAAGTGCGCTCAAGGCTGGCCTGA